ATTGCCAACATAAGCCTTTTCACATAATCTCATATACAAATCTGCTTACATAAGCATACGTCTCTAAAGTATGTATACATTCAACGACTACGGAGCCTGTTGAGATCGCATTATGAAAAGCAAGTCTATGTACTTTATACGTTGAAAAAACATGATTTACACTCTACTTTATGCCACGTAGTACCATATGCATTGTGAATGTTTGGTTTACGGCTCTCGGCTTACAAGCTGGAATGAGGGAATGAGGGAATGATTCTCTCATATATTCATGTAGACACTCTTGTAAGCACTGGTTTGTAACGTATTTACGTTTACCACGCGAATGTGTATATGTAATGTTCCGCCACCGCCGCCGCGGTCGACAGCATCGCGATAAAACCTTCGACCGAACTGTGCCAAGAAAAATAATCTCAATACGCCATAAGCGTATGCGGCTTGGGCGAAGTACATATTTTATTTTATTTTCTAGGAAAATACAAATATGTTTTTCAGCGAAAATCCGTAGCAAATCGCAATATGTGGTGATAGTATTAAGGACAAAGGTTTAAGTCTATGCAGTTAAGAAATAAAACAATATAACTAGTGGCGCATGGCATTTTGCCGCAAGGCAACTTTGCGTACCGCAATTAAACATTCGCGAAATAAAAATAATCAATTATCAATAGAAATTTATCAATAAGTAATGATTGTTTTAAATGTTTTAAAATAATTATTATAAATACTGTAAATTTTATCGTCGTATTTTATAAATCTAACATTATGTAAGTGCTTGGGCGACGACCTTTAAATATGTTAGCACTTACGGGACGGCACCGATTTCAAAACAATCTACTGAACCGGCTGTAAACTTGATTTCATTGTGTATGTTACGCAATTTGTTTGATAAAAATTTGTGGTCATTGGAAGGACATACATTTATAATAATTGATCATTTTATAAGGAATGGTGACGTTTAAAACAACTTCCAAAATGCATAGCTGGTTGATTTTAACATGTTATAGAATAAAATGCTGCTTGCCGTCAGAACAGACAATACAATCCCTTTTTCTTTCTCTCGCATTTAGAATATGTCACTGATTAATCAGTATATTTGTTCATTTTTGTGCTGCCATAATAGTCTGTTTTTTCGATTATATTGTCTGATAATTCATTTGTAAAATATAAAGTCAAATAATCTATTGGATGTTTTATATTACTTGGTATTTGTAGTCGCGGTATTTGTTGATGTATGTCAAACTCGATTATTGAAGGAGAATCGGCATATTCGCTAATGTCTTTCCGCTCTTCATTTAATTTATCGCACTTATTCTTCTTTTTGTTGGTTGGATAATATCATCATCACATTCATCACTATCTTCGGTGCGAATAGTAATTTCGTAAAATTTGCCTGTATGAATGTCTATTTGAAACTCATCTTTACTACTGCTTAATTCACAAAATTTACCAGTCGTTTTACCATATTTAAAAGCGCTCGGTCGTTTTAAATATTAAGTAAAAGACTATATAGCAAAGAAAAAGGCTAAATATACTACTAAAATAACTTAGAATTATTTTCAAAATACAACACTGTTTATCACTGCTATATGTAATTTATTCAACTTTTCGATGCAAACTGTGTCATTGTTTATAAAATAGCCTGTGCCTCAGAGAGTTTGTTTGTCCACTCAGGTGGACAGTCGTCCCCAAAGAGTTAACTTTAAAGTTTGACGGCCCAAAAAAGGTTGATTATGTTAGAAAGAAAAATAGTAAATCATCTTTCTCAAAACTTACTATGAACTCCAAACAGACAATTTATATTTCTCCTTGAACCAAAATAAGCGACCAAAAGTCAAATAAGTAATTAGAATTTCAACGAGATGAATTATCGTCGAAAGTTTCAACTATAACTGCTCAGCATCGAAATCTAAATGACTTTAATCCGAGAAGTGACATAACTCTGTTCGGAGTTCCTCGATAATAGCGAAGCAGGGTTTAACTCTGCTGCAGTAATGCCCTCCAGCTAAGTATTTCATATGCGGTTCGTAGATACCAGCGACGTGAAATATGCACAACATTAATTTTCAGCGCTGCAGAGCATATTTTGCGCATTTTTCATGCCGCTTCGTTTGTCGTTCCACCCGAGCTGCATTTTGCGTTCAGGGTCTGATGCTACACGATAAACAAGATAACTTGAAATGGACATATTGAGAGTGCACGTGTGCGGTACTGGCGACCGTTTTTCATACCCGGGATTAATGTGGACTTTTAAAATTTTAAATCACGACTCATTTGAAACTTTGAAAAGACTCATGAAATAAAACAGTTAAGAGTAATCCTATTTCCTTACATTAGGTTGTCAAATATCTCCCTTCCGCTTTTTTGCTCTTGGCTTATGATACAAAAAGGCGGAAGGGAGATATTTGACAACCTTATATATTTGAAGAAGCGATTTCAACCGAATTTTGCTATATTGAAAAATCATATTTTCCATCAAGTTTAAAAGAACATACGATTTTATCATCTGATACCATGTAGAAAAAACAATTGAATAAGTGTTTAATAAATATTTCAAGGAGGAAGTACTTGCGCAGAGGTATAGTCTTAGACTCTCAAGCAATTGTGATGTCCTATTTTGACTACTAGTAATTATGGATCAAAAATGCGTTTTTAAATCAATATAGCTCATCCGCGTGTATTATATTATAAATTACGTCAAAAATTATGATTTGAAGTACGTACAAACTATAATCAAAACTAGAAAGGACAATCATTGGCTTACCTAAAAATTTCATAGTAGTTACAATAAAAACCTAATAAACTAGTGGGGCGCATGGCATCGTGCCTTCAGAGGTTAGGGGTACTTGTAATTTTTGAAAAATCGATTTTTATTTTTTTGCAGTTTCATTATTTTTTCATGCAGTTTCATTATTCTCCCTCACTTGCTGATGTTTTAAAAGCTTTTAAACCGATTTACGACGATCTCAGCAATGATATTTTACTTTCATGATGTGTAGTTCAAGATTGAATCCATAATCAAAAAAAAAAATTGAAAGCTTCAACCAACTAGTTTAAAAAATATGCCTAAAAATTTAATATCACGCGGGGGAGGGAGGGGTAGTAAGATATCACGTGTACTTATGTGAAAGAATTCAAACATTCAAAAAAAATTTCAAAAAACATAGTTTTTTCACGTAACTAAAAATACACATGGTGTTTGGTGGGTGGAGGGGGAAAATTTTGGATATTACCATAGGGGAGGGGAAAAATTCACTCACGTGATTATTGGACGCCCCCTAATATTTATATTATTTTATAAAATCTACGTATAATACAAAAAACCGCAAGCCTCTGAAGACGGTTGTAATATGATAAATATTGGCAGCAGAAGTGCTTTTATAGCACATTTCGTCAATTCGAATAAATGGAAATAAAAAAAGATTTTCCAAAGAAAAAAAAAACGCCGTAGATATCGTCGCTATAAGTAGTTCTTACAAATACTGCCTCTCAATAAACAAAGAGTGATAATTAACAAAAAAAAAACATTTATCTGGCACCAAAAACATCCATTCCTACATCTCGCTACAAAAATAAATCTCACCCCACCTCGCCCTGACATACCTTTTAAAATCATTACATATAACGTGTTATATATGTATCTTGAGTCTATAAACAGATTATACATACAGTCAGACATAAAACATATTTACACAAAATATAAACAGAAAATATTACCGCATAAATTATCCCTAGAAAGCCACTAGTATGCGGCTATAGGTGCGCTCGTATAAATCCTCAGGGGGTCGCTATCGCCACGCGTGTATTATACGCATTCCTTGCATGGGTGAATATCATTGTCAGTAGGTGGTTCATTTCAGTCGGCACTTCAACGTGGTTACACGCACTGCGGCTCACGCGTGTAATACTGCCTTAATGCAGACATTGGCGTCTGACAAGCCGAAAAAGTAGATGTACGCAGTCGAATTCAAGTCGCACATAGCTTCTGACGATGTGTTGCAGGAATTCCAGAGGGACAACGGCATGAATTTTCCAGAGGGAAAGCACGAGTTAATGCTGCATATTAATTTAAACAGTACAATTTGACAACTAGAAACTTTGTTAAGAACAGGTTCGTTCTAATTTTCTGAAACCCGAAACAGTGGATTGTTTAGTCTAAATCACAGAGCAACAAATTATATAACTTGAAATGAAGTATTATTAAAGGAGTACTCTGGTCTAGAATTAAAAAAATCGATTTAGTTTTTTGATGTTTTCGAAGTTTAACTATTTAAGAATATGTGTACATATGGCTGTTTTGACCACGATATGATCATCCACTGAATTCCTCCTGTGCCAAACCATAATAAGCGCAGTTTTCTCAAAACTGTCTTTTTTGATACGATACCGACGATTTTTCAATTTCTACTGGACCGACTTGTCATTTTGACAGAGTCTTCTTTTTTGACAAACTTCGTACATTCTCCAAATCCAATTTTTCGAGAACAACAAAAAAGTTGAATTTTTTCTTCAGACAGTGTTTATTTTGTGGAAAAAACATTTTTTTAATTTTTCCGTAGTTCATACAATTGGGAAATGACTCCAGATTAATAATATACATTTTTTTTCTTAAAATTTGGAGGGATGAAATCATGGGTATGGTCAGGAGGCAATTTTTTGAGACCCCCACTTCATCTTCTTCTGGAATTAAAAAAACTTTTTTTAATGTTTATTTTTTCTGTAAATGCCCAAAACATTAATTAACAACTTATAGTTCACATGTCGCATAATATTCATGCCTCTAGACCAGAATAACCACTTCAAATTATAATAATACATCCAAAATATTAGTATTCGTTATTACTTTTTTTTTTAATTATTTTAGTGTAACATTGAATAGCTAGACAATATTATGCGAATTTTATTTTACTGAAATTAATAGATTCAATAAAAAGAACATTCATATTAGATAAATATATTTGTATTTTTTAATATTAATGAGTACAGTACAGAATTAAGATTAAAGAGATAAAAATATCACAACTCTGGTTTTAGTTTAAAATCTATTAAAATCTTATGTATTAACTTCAATTGGAATCTTAATAACATCATTATCAGTTAAGATCTGCAAAGATGTTGATTGAGATCTTTGCAAATGACCACCTACATATGATACAGTGATTTCCAAATGGGATTTCGGTGCAATTACAGCACACATCGGTCTAATTTTAAACCATGTATGGGCGGTTATATTAATTTTTTGTGTAGTGTCATAATTGTTACAAAGTTTCACTACATCTGAAATATTTGAAGGCAAATAGAAAATGATTCGACTGGGTTCGAAAGTTAAAGATTCCATCGCAGTGTCGCTAATGTTCAACGTTTCAGCACACAAAGATTGGAACAATATTGTCTCATCAGCCAAAATTGTAGAATCGTTATTGATTGTACGATTTTCCACGGTTACGGATATATCGTTTATTTTTAGAGGAGCAATGATATCATATAAGGCACTCATTGGTTCTTTGATATACGAAATTTCAGAGTAACATGGTTCATCATCCAGTTGTACAAAGAGAGGCAACAACTTTGACCAAATTTTTTCACCTTTGTGCATTGGATAACTTTGATATAATTTCCTGGCACGTTGGCGTAAACCATCGTCGCCCGTCATGATTGTTAGCGCAGCTAATTCAATGACATCAGTATTATAATTATTTACACAACCTTTTTTAGGTTTGAAACTTATGTTTACTATTTTGAAAGTATTGGGCTGGATAATCATTATTTCTGGCGTTATACTTATCTCACTTGTACTAAGTAACAAGTTACTTCGAAAACTGTCGCACGAAACATATGCAAAAGCGGGAACAGTGCCTTTATTATATAGTTTTATACTTTCACTCATAGCATTAATGCTGCTGAATTGTCCAAGTGACAAAAAGTTTTTGTCATTAGGCAACTTAAATACGCCGCTAATTGCTACTTCACTATAACCGCCAAAACCCACAAGTGGCAACGTTAAACGAGTAGCATGTCGGTTATCTGTAAATTCGAGCTTTGTTGAATAAAGTCCGTTGCGTTGTGGTGAAAAGATGACTGAAAATGTCCGAACTTCTGATCCATGCAATATCATGGTCATTGAATTAGAACACTCATTATTATATCCCAAAGTAAACCCACTTTTCATTATATTGATAATAATTTTGATTCTGTGATCCGAAATATTTTTTATTGTGACATCTTGGCTCATAGTTTTTCCAATTTTAGTGCTAGGCCAAGAAATATGTGTCTTCATAGCACGTATTGGCAACCTATTTCCAATTGCACTTCCTGAACTAAAACTGGATTGAGTAGACTTAGCCGGTGATACTTTATTAGATACTTTAAAATTTGACATCACAGACAAATTTGTAGGTGAAGTTGCGCCCAGTAGTGTTTCCTTTAAATTGATACTTGGAGAAGTTCGACCCGATTCAACCTTTTTATCAATTCTCGATGGACTCATGAAGCACTTAAGATATTTTTGAATGGATCTTGATTTTCCAATAATTGGCCACTGCAGAGACGGGCCATTGAATGTTTGTTTAAACACAACATACCTTTTTGCTGTATTCAATAACTCTTTATTCAGAGTAACTTTTAACGAAAGTTCTTCTCCGCATCTTAATGTAATCCGTGGTAATTCAACAGAAAAGATATCATCATTACATGGAGTCTCACTCTCAATATCATCAGCAATAAATATATCGTAAACTAAATCAATTAGACCATCATTATATAAAAGTAAGGATCCTGTGCTACCATATTCCAAATGCAATGGATAATAGTCTTTATTGAATAACACATTACTATAAAATTCTGTGCCTTTTAGTTGGATCGATTTTATAACTAAAAATTGATCGTTCACAAATAATCCTATATCTAGCTGCTCTTCATGTACTTTTATCCTCCTCTCAGTTTCATCACATGTGGTAAATCTCACTTTGCAAAGCAGTTTATTTTGGAGCTCCACACTGTACTGTACGACATTTGTACCAGATGCTGTTACAATGCCAAATGCTTTTTGTTTAGATCCGCCCCGCATTTTAATTGTAAGAGGTATACTATTAGAGCACGATTTAGTTAACATAATACCAATGGTTTCAGTGCTTCGACTAGGTAGATTTCCGAAATTGATGTTTTTAACTATTTCTTGTTCATTATCAGCAAAAGAAGCAATTATTGATGGCTTATAGAAATTTATTTTGAATGTATGTTCGATTAGTTTCTTGTTTGTTTCATCAATTGCATCAGATCCTTCAATTGCTAAAGTGATATTCATCGGTGCAGCGGAAAAACCCCAAACCCTGATAGTGAACAACTTTTCTTTTTGAGGTTCCACAAAAACTGAATTCTCAAGCATTTCAATTTTAAAATAGTCTTCTATATTAGTATGTTGTACAAGCTTATTACCAATAACAAGTTTTAAAAACTTAACCTTAATATAAAGTCGGCTACCAGATTTTGATAACAGTTTTAAGCTGTAATTCATCGGACAACATACAGGAAAATCAACATCACTAGCTCTAATAGAAATATTCAAATCTTGTTTATTTGAATCATCAGAAATCATTATAATTGATTCCTCTTTCTTTGAATTTTGAACTATATCGCTTACTGCAATATTTTTGATTTTGGATATGTCAGAGTTTTTCAAAATTATTTCATCAGGTTTAATCCAATTTTCTAGACCACTTTTCATTGAAGTTTGACTTATCATTCGGATAGGGCTTTTATTTTTACGACTATTACTTTGGAAAACCATATCTTCTATGTTAGTGCTTTCTAAATCAGCTGCAAAATTTTCTGTTAAACCAATAAAATCAGCAGTTGAATTTAAAGTCGATGAAGAAGCACTGCGTGAATTGGGATCCGAGTTTTCTTTATTAGCCTTAACTCCAATGCTTCCCGAAATGATAACGCTTTCATCTGATCTACGTAGAATTTGTTCTATTTCTTCATCATGAGTTATAGTAGTGTTTGTCTTTTTCATGATGGCATTATAGATCGTTTGAGGAGAATCATTCACTGAAATCTCATTTAAAGCTCTAGCGATTGTTGACAAACTAGCCACAGAGTTCCTATTTTTGTTAGTAATGATCTCTTCGTCATCAATTTTGATTGATGGTGTAATTCTGTTATTATTTTCAATATGATTAAAACTTATTTTGTCCAGATCGACTAATGGCACTGGTTTTTGCTTAACGGGCGTTTTTACATTAATCATACTCTTAATATTACTGGAACCTTGAAAATAATCTCCAATTGAAGCAACACTTTCCTCCAAAAAGTTTTTCATGTTGCTGCCTGACGAAGGCAAATAACCAGAAAAATTAGTAAAGTTCAATTTGTCGTTGCTTTGAACAGGCAATATACCACAATCTTTTTGCCAATCTGCTTCATCTTGAAGTAATCTCTCGTGAGCGTCTCCCTCAACAGATTTAAAAGAAAGGCCGGTAAAATTCTGTTTTTTTGCTTCTTCAGAAAGATCAGCGCCAAAATTAAAAGATGGAGTGAGGAAAGTATTTGCGACATCATTTTGTATTGATTGTTCTTTAATATCTTCCAAGTCTAAGACGGAATCTTGAACATCTTTAACGCAACTGGAGGCTAATATTTGTTGAACAGATTGGGAAATATCATCAGTCGGCGCTGCCGCATGTGTTTGCTCTAAATCTCTATTTAAATCTCCAGGAGTTATATCTGCAATCATGTCGCTAATATTGAAGAAATTTGATGGATTCAAGGTAACTACTGATTGAGCCCGTGCACTTTCATTTGGCCTTAATAAATACGATATACTCATACTGCCACGTTTTGAATTATCAGACGCTTTTTCATCTGCACGAGAAAGTGTTTTCAAAGCTAACTTGCGCTGCAAGTCTAAAGATGAATCGACTTTTCTCTTAGAAGCATCCATTTTGTACTATTGACAAAGTATTATATATATTAATTATTAAGAATCACATCCACATTTAAAAACGTAACGTGTAACTATAAAATAAATTAAAAATTGTTTCTGATAAAATTTACAAATTATGTCATTGCTAAATCGCAATAATTAAAATTAGGCTTCAGTCTTCAGTTATGAAAATTCAGCTGGATGAATCTCGGCCAATTTTAGTATGTCATATTTGCACTTGTGCCTCTATAGTGAGATGACCTATATTAAAAAAAGATCTACCGCATCTGCAAAAGAAATATGACTTGATAACATTTAGATAATAGTAATAGAACTATATTTATATCATATAAACTGATTATTATTTATAAAATACGAATACAGTGAAAGCAGGATTTGAAACAATCATTTTGAGGGATCATAAACCAAACGAAACATTCTTTTGCACCTAATACATTAATGTTAAAGCAACCTGAAGGTATTATATCATATGATCCAATCATTATAATAGAATATGAGCTTTAATATGAAATAGATATTAAGTTAAATATCTTAAAATTGAAAAGGATGCACATCAATATAATGATTGTAATTAAATAATGATTTTTATAAAATTTATTAAATCATTTAATGGACAGAGTCCTATTGTATTGCTTTTGATCAAATGCCGCTTCACGCTACAATACTTTAGAGAGCATTAATGGAATCAAAAAATAATGAATCACACAATACAATTTGTCGAAAACACGAAGCGCAACTAATGCAGCAAATAATATTACACGGTGTCAATCAAGGAGACCGAGTTCTCACAAAAAAGCTTTCAATACGTATACATCATCATTAAACTTTGCGCCCGTTGCGCGGTGTTGGAAAAAGCTCCCGAATTGTTGGTGGAGCTTATGCCCATAATGCGATCAAAAACAACCACAATATAGAAGTTGTGTGTGTAATATAGGAAAAAAGATCTGCCTGACCTAAATCCGAAGCTATGTGTTGTATGATATTATATAGCCAACCTCAACATTCTATTCGGGTAATGTTTTGGAATACATTCATAGGGTTTTGAAATTTTGTATTCATATCCATGCAATCGATGCTGGATAATCGATGTATTGTTGTGCAATCAGGCTTTTCAGGTAGAAAACCTGACGTATAATCTTATCATAAGTGCATCTTTGTGATTTGGCATGATAAAACATTTACGAAGTTCGATTTTATGTGTGAAACGCATGAGCGCATAGTATATACACAGAATATTTTAGGTTAAAATCGCTACATGACATAACCTTGCCATAACATTTGTTTATTTGACGACAGAATCGGATTCTTAATTATAGTATTAACTTCTCCAAAAATAAGTCCCACGAGAATAACAACCGGTATAAACTACAATTTAAAGAATCAAGTCTACGGATCATGAAGTCATCAATCAATACCAATCACCAACCAAATTGGCAAAAATAACAAAATTGCAATTTAATCATAGAAAACCATATAAACAGCTAATAAAATAAAAAATATATAAATAATAAAACAAAATAGTTATAATAATTCACCTTACAATTTATTTAATATGTAAGTTCTAATAATAATCCATCCTACTAAATATAAATTTATAAAAATTGTAACCGTATACCAAGAACTGGAGCGAATACGTTAAAAATATTTATATAATCCAAAAACATCGTCAATATGTTTCAAATCCCCACACATGAACTAGTTTAACGTGCAGTAGATCAGTAGATCATATTTATTTATAATACATTAGAATATTTCAGGCGAACGTCGTATCTAGCGCAAATATTTCACATTTACCAAAACCGTCGCGTGTTTATAAACACATCATAACACGAAAACTGAGGAGCAGCAGCGCCTATTCCCGAACCCTCGGTGGGGCACAAAATTACTTCTGCGGTGTGATTAATGATTTGTTGAAAAATTAGACCGGAATATATATATATATATATATATATATATATATATATCCACATATAACATCACGTTCTAGGATTAAATGGAAAAAAATTATGGCTTTATATGGGTATCATAATCAAAAAGTTATCGCGTGATTGGGCTTGAATATAAAATCATCATGACTTTTTTATTCAATATATAGTCCGAATATTAATGCATTTAATTGATTAAATATGGTTTCAAAGAATTAATAATTAATAGCAAATTGAAAAATGCTGTTACATAAATATGGGTAAAAATATTTATGAACATATAGTTAAATTCGCCAGTTTGATTGATCAATAAATAATAATATTTTTATCTTTTAAACGGATACCATAAAAACATGGATTTGTAAAATTTACATTTTAAAATTATAGAGTAGTTATTAAATAATGTGTATATAATTTCCTTTTTTTTATTTATTTTTCATTCAATTTTATTATTATATAGTTGATTACAAATTAGTATATATCCCCAATGGTGTATCTTCTAGAGCTGATTAATATTATAAAAAAAAAACTGAAAAAAGGGTAAGAAATAATAAAATATATAGTTACTGAAATAAATTTTTGAAAAGCTGTTCTAAGTAATTTATTGACCTAAAAATCATATCAATTTTTACAAGAAGAAGAATAAAAAAAAATCTCTAAGAGAAAACGCATGTCTTAATGCCACCAAGTAAGGTAAATATGTTATTTGCAGAAAAATATACTAATAAAATATCAATTGACAAACTAAAATATAAAAAAAAACTAGTTTAAAGTTCATAAAAATTGTGTTGAAATGCAAAAAGAACAATTTTATCAATAATGACCATAGCAAATATAAAAATAACAAATACTAAATTTCTTAAGCGAGCACTTTTATAACTTATACAAATGCAAAATTCAATTAAAATTTACTGTACTGTGAATATATTTCAGAAATTACTATAATTAATTATGTCCTATTTATTATAAACGTATTTTAGTTATTAGTAACTCTTATATATTAATTTGAATTGGTGCAGTTTGTTGAAGTAATGATTTGTGAAAATAAATGACAATGCTGTAATAAATAACTTTCAGAATTAGTAACAGCATTCAGTTAATAATATGAATCCATACTTCATTAGATTTCATTTGCACTAAATCACGTTCATATTTTTTTATATCATAAATGAAATCCAATTTAACGAACTAAAATGTGAAGAAACTAGTTGGCAAGCTATAAAAATCGTCTGGCAAATAAAAACGAAACAATTTCATCAATAAATTTCAGAAACTACTATAATTCATTATAGTCATTCATTATTATAATGAATAAATCGTACTAATATATGCTAGTTAACGTTATTAGTAATTTTTTATATATTAATTTGAATTGGTTTGTTGGAGTAATAATTTCCAATAGAAAACAATTTCCAATATTATGGATTAAATGCTACAGTTTCGGAATTAGTAACAACATTAACTCTATGATATAAATCCACACATCATTAGTTTTTATTTGCAAATAAACTAAATCACGATTTGTTCATATTTTCTTACATAATAAATACAATCCAATTTACGAACTAAAATTTGAAGAAACTAGTTGGCAAGCTATAAAAAATGACTGGCAATAAAAAAAACAATTTTATTAATGAAAGCCGCAGCAAAGACAAAAAATAAAATACTAAATAATTTCTTAAGCGCAATGGATGTCATTACAAATTTATTAAGTTATGAATAAAAAAAAGTGCAAGAATTTCATTAAATTATCTAAGGCAATGGCAATTATCTAAGGCAATTATTTCATGTGAATAATGATGCTGCCTAAAAATAGTGTTCGTCTTCTTAACTATTATCGCCAAGTTACTTCGGAAGTACGATGCTGATGATATAATTTATCGGCCTGTACAATTCTAAACTCATTGGTTATTTCAACTTCACAACTCAATCTTAATAAAAATAAATGTTTAAGAGCAAGTTGCAAGAAAGCATAAAAAAGCTTACACAACCCGAACAACATCGCACTGGATTCGCCGGCTTTTGGAAATTATAAATAGCTGTAACTTTGGAAGTTTTTCACAAAGTTCTTTACTTGAAAAAGGGGAGAAAATCCTGCGCGTGGAAATGCGAATATCTGTAAGAAAAATAATGGTCGAGTTACATCAAAAAGTTTCTCCGCCTTGGAAAATCGTCACTAATCTTTCTTTAATAAAGTCCCGAACAGAGGAGAATGATGAATATTCATTTATGAACCAAAAATTGACAAAACGTAATTAGTAAAGCAAAGGAGACAAAGTTTTTGTGCAAAGTTTCACAAGAGTTTGGAGAACGGTTTTTTTATATTTAAGCAATAAGGTCAGATAAATATTTGTCGTAAGCAGAAAAACGAGATGGCATCTGCTTAATTTTTATAGAAGCGAAGACAAGAGACTCAAATAGATGTAGTTGGTTAATTTCACATCTAACCATGAACGATTTCTGTGTCCTGTATCTTGAATCCGATAATCGAATCTAAATAACTTTCAACCTCCAACGACGGAATTCTAAACAGGTACATAATGTATAAATGTAGTACACCATAACTAGATTTGTCAGATTATAATATAACTGAGTCAAATCATCAACTCGACAGGAACATGTCCATGTTCAAGGATGGTGAGCGATCAGTAACTGTTTCCGCATCAAATGCAGATCTACATAATCTATTTGATGTGATGTTTCCGAAACTAACTCCTTACGGATTTCAGCCCGAGTCGCAGGCGTATGTTATGGCTTTGCCTAAACACAAGGGAATATATTAACCGGAATTTATAGGTAGAGAGACACATACATCAATGGTGAGAAATAGACACAATATAGACTTAATTTCAATGATATAGAAGGCTGTTAATTATCAGAATCAGAATTGATTATAATGTGAAAATGATTTTGAACATCATAATTGGATGTGATTTGTGCAAAATATCAATATATTAAACATAATTCAACATAGCCATAAAAATTGATTTATTCCAACCATAATATGTAATTACATTTAATAAAACGTTGTAGTATATGTAACAAAAAAAAAAAAAATGACATTAAATACATTTTGAATTTCCTCAAAGTATAAACCAAATGGGTTAAATCCATAAAGACACCAACATGAAAACGGTAAGCGAGAAAATATGAAACATTTCGACACATAAAAGCTTCCTCGAAGATCACCCAAACTTACTTGCCAGAAAACTTAGCCAGAACACTGGCAAGGCACGTTGAAAAAAGCAATTCATGTTGCAATAATATCTGTAATTTAAAAATCTCTGACGATAGTCAGAAGATTGTTTTTTTTGGGAAATTTT